TGGGTGAGCCCCATGCTGGACATGGTGACATCCCCTTCCTAAGCATGGTCACCCCAGGAGACCACCATCATGATGGAGATAGCACCCATGGGTGCCTCCACACCCATGGGGTGGGTGTTTTGGGGGGTGGGCAAACCCTAAAGGTGGCCATCCATTTGCAGCAGCGTGCCGGTGCCGTGGCGTGGCTGTGCCTGGGCTACCCGGTGCTGGTGGTGGCCCATGGGCTGGTGTGTGTCACCGCGTGGCTCCTCATCATCTTCATCCCTGTGGCCAAGCTGAGCGCCCGCACCGCTGCCCGTGTCCTGCTGCTGCCCCCGGAACGGGTGCTCGTCCGGCATCTGAGGATGGTGGGTGCTTCTGTGTGGGGGTGAAGGTCCCACACCCCACTCTGGGGTGGATTTTGGGGTGAGGGGGATGCTTGGAGCAATGTCACCCATGTGTCCATCTGCAGACGGAGGTGCCACTGGAGGGGGAGGTGATCCTCTGCTGCTACCGCGCCGCCAACCCCTACTACTACAAATACGCCGTGGACGGCATCAACGTCTTCGCCGTCAGTATCCTTCTGTGGGGTGGGGTGGGGAGGGTGGCCTTGGGGACCAAGAGGTGTCCTCCAGGGATGGGAACCTGCCCAAGATGTGAGGTTGAGCCTCAAAAGCTGGGGGGAAAGATGCTGAGATGCTCCATGCACCAAGGAGCTTGGTTGCCCATCCTTCTGTGGGGGACTGACCCCCAAATCCAACCCCCACCTTGGTTATCTCCTTGACCAGCCACCCCAGACCTACTGCCACTGGTGTTGGTGACGCTGGTGCTGGGTTACGTGGACAGCCACAACACCCTGACCAGCTCCTCCATCAAGTTCACGTTGGCTCTGCTCTCCATCATGCCTCTCTCCTACTACATCGGGATGGCCATCGCCAGGTGAGTGGTGACGGGTGGGACACTTGCTGGGGACACATGCCAGCTTTGCTGATGCCCTTCTTCTCCTCCAGCATCTCAGCCCAAAGCAACTTTGCGGTGGGAGCGGTGGTGAACGCCACGTTCGGCTCCATCACGGAGCTCACCTTCTACATCACGGCTCTCATCAAGGGCTCGCGTGAGGGCAACCGCTGCTACGCCGAGATCGTCAAGTCGGCGTTGACGGGGACACTGGTGGGCTGTGTCCTCTTCGTCCCGGTGAGATGAGGTGGCATCCCATGAGAGTGCTTGGTCTCTGCAGAGAGATGGGAGGATGTTGTGAGCAAAGCACTGATGGGGATTTTTTTTTTGGGGGGGTTTCTTCATCTCCAAGGGTCTGTGCATGGTCATCGGGGGCATCCGGCACCAGGAGCAGCGGTTCAACAGCCGCTCAGCGGGGGTCAGCTCAGCCCTGCTCTTCCTTTCTGTGGGAGGTGAGTTGGGGACAAGGGTGTCCCCATGTTTGAGGGGTGGGATCTCACCAGGGCAGGTGCCCACCTCGGGATAAAAAGGATCCAAAGCTGCTGGAGAGTGTCCAGAGGAGGGACACAACATTGGGGAAGGGTTTAGAGGGGAAGGGGGGGGGTGGAGGCTAAAGTCTCTTGGTTTGTTCAGCCTGGAGGAGACTGAGAGGAGATCTCATCATGGTCTAGAACTTCCTCCCAAGGGGCAGAGGAGGGGCAGGCGCTGATCTCTTCTCTCTGGCCACCAACGAATGCCAGGAGCAGAGGACATGGCAGGAAGATGTGGCAGGGGAGGGTGAGGTTGGCCATGAGGAAAAGGTTCTTGAGGCAGCCAGAGGGTGGTGGAGCACTGGAACAGGCTCCCCAGGGAGGTGCTCATGGCACCAAGCCTGACAAGATTCCAGCAGCATTTGGCCAAGGCCCTGAGGGACATGGTGTGAATGTTGGGCTTGTCCTGTGCAGGGACAGGAGTTGGACTGGATGATCCTTGTGGGTCTCTTCCAGCTCACAACATTCCATGATTCTATGATGTCCCTCCATCTCCACAGGTGTCTTTGCCCCAACACTCTTCTCCAAGGTGTATGGGAAGCTGGTGTGTGGCGAGTGCCACAACGTCACCCAGAACCCACTGGGCCATTACCTCTGCCACAACTGTCACTTTGACCTGGTGAGTGGGGACATGGACCCTCAACTTGCTGGGGGTTTGGGTCATGGATGCTCAAAGCCCACTTGGCTCCTGCTGTCATGTTGGGTGGTGGCAGCAGGGCTGTCCCTTGTCCCCTGCATCCCCGTTGACAGATGGTCTCTCTCCACAGATGGGGAACAACGGCACCCTCTACTACAGTCACGTCCAGTGAGTATCTGCTGGGGTGGGGACAGGGTTGTCCCCACAGTGGGGTGGCACCTCCTAGGCTGGGTTATGGCCCCATATCCTTCCCATGTCCCCTCTTTACCACCCTGAAGGGCTCTGATCCTGCACCATCATCTCTTCCATCCCCAGCTGGTGCAGGGGACATCCCTGGGGTCTCCATGCTGGAACCCTGGTGGCCCTGAACATGTCACCCATGTCCCACAGACCCCTGGTGTACACCGTATCCCTCCTGCTCCCCGCTGCCTACCTCATCGGTCTCTTCTTCACCCTGAAAACTCACTCACACATCTACGACATCCACATCAGCGACTGTCACAGTGAGTGTCCCCAAACCCTGAGATGCCCCAGTGGTGGGGCTCGTTCTTCTCAATGCCCCAAGGTGTCCCACCACCACGTCTCTGCTCTTCCCTTAGTGCCTGGCCACCACCACAGCGCTGTGGTCCACTGGTCTCGCTGGCGGGCGCTGGTCATCCTCCTGCTCTCCACTCTCTGTATGTCAGCCTGTGCTGACCTGGCCACGGAGCACATCAGCCCCATCCTCACCAACTCCACCATCTCACAGGTGAGCTTAGGGATGGTGGTGAACCAGGTTGGGGTGGCCTTGGGGACCAAGATGCATCCTCCAGGGATGGGAACCTGCCCAAGATGTGAGGTTGAGCCTCAAAAGCTGGGGGGAAAGATGCTGAGATGCTCCATGCACCGAGGAGCTTGGTTGCCCACAGCTTGGATGTGGTCAGGATCAGGCCATATCCTGTGTTGATGTCACCTCTTCCCTGCAGTACTTCATCGGTGTCACTGTGCTGGCCATGGTGCCTGAGCTGCCAGAGATTGTCAATGGCATCCAGTTTGCCCTGCAGAACAACCTGAGCTTGAGGTGAGATGGCTTGATGGATGGGTTTTGGGGTGTCCTCCAGCATGGTCCCTTGTGCCCTGTCCCAGTCCCATAGCTGTGCCTTGGTACCAGTGATGGGCTGACCAGCTTCGTGCCACTGGTAGGTCAGATCCTTGCCAACGTGCCCTCAGGAGGACCTAAAGCCACCCCAAAAATGGGGTCAGAACCAGGTTGGGCTCCATGATTTGGTTCCCCAAGGTGGATTTTTTTTCTCACCCTGAAATGAGTGACCCCAAGGGCTGCTGGAGACCTGGCACTTGGCAGCCCTTAAAGTTCTCTGTCCTCCTCAGCATCGAGATTGGGAACTGCATCGCTGTCCAGGTCTGCATGCTCCAGATCCCCATCCTGGTGCTCTTCACCATCTTCTATGTGAGTAGCCCCAGGACAACCCCTGAGTGACCTCCTGTAGCAGGGTTGGGGACACACAACACTCCATGAGACATGGCAAGGGCACAACTGCCATCCCCACTGTCTCCTCTCCTCTGCTCAGTGCAGGTGAAGGTGGGGTCAGATGTCTCCTACCTTGGCTGATGTTGTCCCCAGCCCTAGGGACACGTGGCAGGGGTTTCAAGGGGGTGACATGCAAATCTCCAACTTCAGTTGTCCTGGTTGGCCATAAATCCAAAATCCTCTCTGCCTCGCAGCCGACCAACTTCACGCTTGTCTTCAGCGACCTCCACGTCTATGCCAGCATGTTCAGCGTGGTGCTCATGAACTACATCTTCATGGATGGCAAATGTGACTACTTCCAAGGTGACTGCTCACCCGTGAGGCTGCTGTGGGACCAACCTTCCCTGTGCTGATGGGGTGGGGGGCTCTTGGAGATAGTCCTGAGGTCACTGCTTGCTGCAACTCTTGGCATGTGGTGGGCTTGAGCAATTCTGGGGTCTTGATTGACCATCTTGGAGGTGCTGGAGTGCCACCCTGCAACAGCTCCAAGGGGGATCTCTCCCTTTTCAGGAGTTTAAACCCTTTTTAATTGAGATTTTGCAGAGGACCATCAAAGTTCTCTTCACTAACCTAATCTAGATCACACCAGAAGGTCTTGAAAGCAACCTCCCTCCTTGCTCCAGAGAGTAAGATCCTCCAACCTGCTCTGTCTACTCTAGGCACGGTGTTGGTGATGGTCTACTTCATCCTCCTGGCTGTCTATTTCTTCGCCCCATCGCCCAGTGGTTGCTGAGGTTTGGACTCTTCGTTCTCCAACCCTTCCATTGGGTTCAGCGCTCATCAAGGCATTATCCAGTGTCTCAGGGTCTTGGCTGGGCTGGCTCTGGTCTGGAAGCATCATTTACTGAAGCTCCTGCTGCTGCCTGGCTTCTCCAGTGGGATGCCAATGGAGCTTCAGTGATGGGAAGGGTGGTGGCCACAGAAGCACTCCTGAACCAAGAAGGAACCTCAATGCCAGAGCACGTCACAGAGGTATTTCCAGCCCACACACGTGTGGTTGGGAGGAAAATTGTCCTTAGTTGGAGGATCTTGAAGGGAGTTTCTGTGTGGTCTTGATGACAGACCCCTCCCTTGGGATGTGTTGCACTGGGAGAAGGTGCTTGAGAAGAGCCTCTCACCCTTCCAAGCAGTGGGTGATCCCAAGCCTGGGAGGGACTCGGGTCTGGGGATCACACAAGGCTTCTTGATGGAACTAGAAACGCACCAGAAGGTTTTTTCAGCTGTTTTGTCATTAAAGCAGTTTTGTACAAATCAGAAACGAGCTTGTTTTCCTTAAACAAGCCTTTGGTTGCTTGTCTGGGCTCTTCTGTGCCCACCACCCAGGTTAGTGATGGTCTTGGGGTGATGGCCACATGGTAGCCACCAAGGCTGGCTCTCAATGTGATGTGTGTTGTGCACCAGTGATGGCTTGGTTGGAGCCAGCACCCCTGGGAGAAGAGCAGGACAGCACTCAATGTCCTGTCACAACACCAAAGGAGGTGTCAGGAGAGATCCACCACCGTGCCATGGGGACAGAGCTAGTGGTGGGGTGGCTGTGGGCTCCAGCTCTCTCTATAACCCTCCCCAAGCTCTAGTTCTTGTTTCCAGCTTGGTCTTGGTTGTCTGTCCTGGCTCATCCTTGCTCAGAGGTCTTTAACAAGTCCCTAAGAAGGGAGAGAATGGTCCCAGCACCATTCATGGTGTACGAGGTGGGACTGGTTCATCTCCCTCTGTGAAGGGAAATGCCAGTGGGTGAGGTGAGAGGATGAAGTTGGTGGCTTGGGCTGATTTATCATGAGAGCTTAAAAAAACCCAACCAAACCCAAAAAGCAAAACACTGACAGATAAATACAGACAACACAGCTCCTGTGCCCCTTCTCCAGCCCCATGGAGATGTTCTTCAGGATACGATGCTGCTTGATCAAGCTCTTTTTGTTTTCCTGGTGTAGCATCAGGATGGACAATCCTGCTGTTGTTAATAGAGACATGTGGGAAGTTGACCATTCCTGGTCAACTACCCAGAGTTGGCAGATGATGGACTCAACAGCACAGGGCAGTAAGAGATGGAAATGGAGTAGGATGGGAAGACAAATGGTGGCACCATGTTCTACTTCTTATCTGAAAATATCTACCCTGGGCTGGAGGGATGCTTGGGGCTTCTCCTGGAGCCAGACCCAGCCTTTGTGTTTGGGAAAGTGTGGTAGGACTCTGCAGGTCCCTTCCCCAGTGCCCTGCTCTGCAGCAGGACAAGCCAAGCAGTAGCAGCTGGTGGCTGCAAAGATGCCCCAAAGAGGTCCCACCTCACCCTGAGCTACTCTGCTTGGTCCTGGAAGTGGGGCTAAGTTGAGGAGTGAAGGAAACGGGGCTGTCCTACAAAACCCTGTTTGGAGATGGCTTTTTCTGTCTTGGTGTGTCCTGTCCCATCATGGGCAGCATCATAGATGCTTTTAACTCCTCATCCCTCCATCAGATGCTGAATCCTTTCCCACTCCCTTGGAGAACTCATGGCAGAGGCAGTAAACAGTTTGCTTTTGAGTATGGTATGGCACAGTGAGAGTTAACGTGCCCTTAGAAGTGAGGAACCAGTACTTGGGCATCACCTGGGCTGGAGGTGAAGACAGGCAGGAGATGATGGAGCCATATATCCTTCAAGCTCCACCTCAGAGTGAAGCTTCTACCACCAGGAGCCAGTGAGAAGCTTTTATAATTCCAACTCAACGTGCAGTAGACAAGCAGTGACTCAAGCGAACCCTCCACAGGGAGCTGTGAGCTTTGCAGTGCTTCAAACAAGTCATTTTCTAGGAAGAGCAGCAGAGCAGCCTCCAAAATCTTGTGCCCGTGGTGCAGAAGCTACTCCAGGTTACTGGGAGGGGAGAGGTTCCTGGACCCCCAGCAGTGGACAATGCTCGTTATCTGCTTTTATCAGCAAAAGCAAGTCCCTGGTCATTTATTCTTGAGTCCATGCAGAGCAGCGTGGTGGTGGTGGTGGAGGGGTGAGACCAGCTCCAGGCTGGTGGTTGAGGGCACAGTCATGCTTTGGGCTTGGACCAACAGTGTGGCCAGCAGGAGCAGGGCAGTGCTG